GGCTTGATCCCTGGCATCTTGTATGGTCCCTTGGGCATCACCAGGTGTAATTCCTGAGTGCAGAACCAGGATAACCCCTGGGCATTGCCAGATGTGACCCTCGGCAAATAAGAACGCGGAAAGAAATTCAGCACCATTGATTGTGGGGTAAATGCAAGTCAGTGAGCAGCCACCTCACTCCTATTAATATGGCCGTCCTCCAAAAAACAGGACATTCAGAAAACAAGTCTGGAGAGCCTGTGGAAAAACTGGAATCCTTATCACTGCTGGTGGATCCACAGATTGACACAGCCACTGTGGACAGGGGAGTGGTGGTCCCAAAGTAAGACTAGAGCCACTAAGGTATCCAAAGGCCCACTGTCTGGTTAGGTCAAAGAACTAAAAAGGAGCTCCAAGAGCTGTTCTCACACCACACACATAGCACCATTCTCAACAGCGAAAACATGGGAGCAATTAAAATGTTCATTGGCAAGTGAAAAAAGAAGCCAAAAATTGAACTGAGGAATGGCTCAGAGAGCTTTAGACCTGCCTGATACGCACAGTGCCCCAGGTTCCATCTGTAGTGTTGCCTGTCCCCTGAGTACTGTGGGGTGGAGGCCCCAAACAGGCAAAAGGCAAAAAGGTCTGTGCATACAATGGAATATTACTCTATCTTAAAAGTAAGGAAACTTGGTGGGGGGGGGGGGGGAAGCACACCTAATGGTGCTCAGGCCTTACCCCTCGTGTGTTCAAAAAATAAATTCGAATCCACGGGGCTCTCTTGCCACCTGCGTTCAGTGATCTCGGGCTGCTTCCCTGCCCCCCCCCCCCAGATGGCTGATGGCAATGGACGAAACAAGGGCCATCAGGCTGGTTGGTGATCAGTTGCAGTTTATTCCAATCTCATCTCCCTCTGCTTCCTTCCAGTCTCCTTCACTCCCGAATTCCTCCTCTATCCCCCTCAATTCTCCTCCTCCTTGATTCTCTCTTACAGCCTTAGTTATATTCCCAAATCATGAGGGGTTTGGGTAGCAGTTATACATAGGTGTGGTCATACAATCAACAGATGTAAAGTCCTTCCCTCAGGGGAAGCTTCTTCTCGGACAAATACTCATCCAGCAAGATGACCCTCCCAAGGGTGAAATACCATCTAGGGGTGCGTTTCTCCTTTCCTTAGTCCAACGACCATTTAAACATTCGTCTTAATTCTGCTTCTTAAATTTAGTCATTTTGTATGGATGCAGAAAGAGATATATTAAGCTTGTAGGATGACTCTCTTGGGGACATCTTGCTATAGATCCCAGACTACAGTGCTCAGGCCAGATTAATCTTTCCTTACCCTAGCAGGGTCCTAATCCAGTTGTTATTCTTTTGATCATGACAGAATTTGTCCATGACCATGCTCTTAACTTATAGTTACGTATTACGGCACTTGACCCGGCCCATTTTGATGCCAGGGTAGCTCACAGCTTGCCCTGGGTCCATCCAGTTCCTTGTCGGCACCCTGCTTCTGGGGTGCTAGGAACTAAGGGCAACTGAGGCTTAAGTTAAGAAACAGATGTCCAGGAGTGAATATTATTTGGAGTCAGTTAACTCCCGGCTTACAAAAGCATAGCATTAACTGTCTTCCTGTGTTTATACAAAAAGGATATTGTTTTAAAGGAACTGTGCAAAGAACATAAAGGAAAGAAAAAAGCAAGATAGGATATTGGTACTTGATGGAATTGGGTGTGCCTCAGGGGCACTATTGTAGGAGTAGGTCAATAAACCTTATTAGCTCCCTGTGGGAGGAGCAAGGACAACAAAATGTTATACAACAACCCCTGGCTCAACCTCAGCCCCTGTGGGCTGCAGGGTGAGGGGAGGGGACTTTATGGGGTGCCAGGGATCGAACTGGAGTCAGCCACCTGCAAGACAAGCACCCTTCCCACTGTACTACTGCTCCAGCCCAAAAGGAAAGAGATTCTGATATGTACCATCACATGGATGAAATGTACTATCACATGGATGTACTATCACATATGTGTGTATGTACATATGATACATGTACTATCACATGGATGTACTATCACATGATGAAATCTTGAATCACATGGCTGGAATCTTGAGGACATTGTGCTAAATGAAATAAACCAGATGCAAGAAAACATACTGTGTGATTTCTTTCCTATGAAAGTAGTCACATTCCTAAATAAAGTGAAACTGTGGTAAATTGTGGTGGTTAGAGGCTTAGAGAGGGTGATGGAGGGTCATGTTTGCTAGGGAACAGGCCTCCAGTTTTACACAGAGAAAGAGGGGGCGCAGTGGTTGTACAACAGTAGGAACATCTTCAGTGCTGCTGATTTGTACGTTTGAGGATGGCTAAAAAGGTGTATTTTGCTGGAGTTAAGTTAAAAATTATTTTTTCACAGTATTTTATTTCGAGCCAGGGAGGTGGCTCAAAGGGCTGTAGCACAAACTATGCATGTGGGAGGTCTCTTGAGCACAACCAGATGTACCCCCCTCAAAAAAAAGTCGCATTTCACACCTAGTTTTGCAAACTCTGGTGCTCATTTAGCCTGTGAGCCACACTTGCCTTGTAAGTCACTGTTGCTGTCATTGTCCTCCTGTTCATCAATTTGCACGAGCAGGCCCAGTAATGTCTCCATTGTGAGACTTGTTGTTACTGTGTTTGGCATATTGAATACATCACGGGTAGCTTGCCAGACTTTGCCGTGAGGGCGAGATACTCTAGGTAGCTTGCTGGGCACTCCGGGAGGGGCAGAGGAATCGAACTCGGGTTGGCTGATAAAACCAACTCGATGATTAGCACAAATCAGATTGCTTTGTCAGGAAGACACCTGGGTTTCTATTTCAAAATAACATGTTAAGATATAAAATAAATAAAAAATAAAATAAAGGCCCTCCCGTTGATCATCGATTTGCTCGAGCGGGCCCAGTAACGTCTCCATTGGAGACTTTGTTGTTACTGTGTCTGGCATATCGAATACTCTCGGTAGCTTGCCGGGCTCTCCAAGAGGGGCGGAGGAATCGAACTCAGGTCGGCCATGTTGGCTGCGTGCAAGGCAGACACCCTACCCGCTGTGCTATCGCGGGTAGGGCGATATATTTTGAGGAAAAAGATATATTTTGAGGAAAATTGCTTAAAACTGAGAAATTGAGATGCTTTATGGAGTAATTGCTGAAACATTGCAAAACCAGCACCTTAATGCACACTGTGTCTCGTGACCTCGGTTGCTGTGATGTGGCACACGTGTTATCATACCTTACACCACAGGGAGTGTGTCATGACCAAGTTTGGGGGAATATTCAGTTCAATCACATATGAATCAGAAAACACTCTTAGTAGTTTCATTAGCCATGATTATAGTCTTGTGTATTCAGTGAAAAGAAAGGTGGAAAATGAATTTCTATGGAAGGTAGAATCTGTTTGACATGAGATGGGACAGATATGAGTTGATTGTTAACAAATTACACCTTTACGATGGAACTGGCTGGTGGAATCTGAGAAACATCACAGAAAACTTACGGTGTAGTCTTTCTCATATCTGAGAAGTTCTGTAGCCCAGGACACAGGATGTAATTCCCATGTGAGCAAGGCTGCACTGTTCACATGTGCCTGCTCGTGGCACATGCAGGGAGTGACAGTAGAAAGCAAAGAAACGTATCTTCAGTGGAGGGTTAGGACTCTCATGGTCTGCGATGCACTCTGGACTCTGGCAACCCTTAGGCGACTGATGTGTGCCCAAACTTGCGAACCACAGGACCATGTGGTTGGAGCAGGTTTGCCCCTAACCACTTGACACTATGTCTGGGTGGGGTAAAGAGTGGCTTTCTACCCATACATGCGCTTAATTTTCTGAGTACTTGAAGCCAGAATAGTTCCTGATTTTTCTAGCAAGCTCACATCGGTCCTGCTGAATGGGTACAAGTGCCTCTTGCCAAGGAAGTGTTTATGGCCATGACTAGATCCCTCAGGCCAGCTTGTCTCCCTAAGGTTTTTTCTCTTACCTTGTCCGCTTCCCTTGGTTGTTGTGTTGACCGAGATCCTCACAGGTATGTGGTTGTGGTGCTGACCTCCACTTGGCAGTTATATAGCCAGACAGTGTGGCAGCACCAGGGCTCTGCCAGGAGGGGTTCCGTGGGTGGAGATGGCAAAATTGAACCTATGCCTCAAGGCCCACATTCGAAGTCCCCCCACCCCCATTGCTTTCAGTTTGCTCCACTTTGGAGGCATTAGAGTGTAACAATTTGTGTATTTAAAATGCTGATCACACCAAGTCACTTCCTTTCTTAAAAGTAGAAGCTTCTGGACATCCCATTGCCCTTAGGAAAATAAAATCTTCAAGAGTAACTTTGTAGTTTACTGTGATTCGGTTAAAAACAAAAAACACCATCCTGAATAAATCTGGTTTTTGATAATTAAAATAATAATCATTTCTTGAATTTCTTGTATTTTTTAAACTGTAGCACTGTCCTCCCATTGTTCATTGATTTGCTCGAGTGGTCACCAGTAACGTCTCCATTGTGAGACTTGTTGTTACTGGTTTTGACATATCAAATATGCCACAGAAGCTTGCCAGGCTCTACTGTGCGGGCGGGATACTCTAAAAATATTTGTATTTCACAGTTTTTCTATATTTTATGGTAAAACAAAATTGTAGTCGTTTTTCTTTTAGTCCAGAAGTTTGAGGAGGCCCCTGTTCCTCTACCTTTGCGTTTCTGACCTGCTTTGGGCTGCACACTCAGCAGGGCCTCACCAGTCAGTCTGCCACACTTTTTTTAAAGTGCCTTTACTTTCCCCCCACTGCGAGTGTCTGGTCTGGGCCTAACTTGGGGCATGGATTGGGGTTGGGCCTTTGCTCACAAGCCACTTGGGGTGGTGGTGTTTCCCCTGGCCTCATGGGGGTCTGATGAACACCTGCTTCAAGAGTGGAGAAGCCATGTTTACTTTTGGGGGCCCTTTTCCTCCTGTTTTCTTAGCCCCACCTAACCCCCCCTCTTTGTCTCTTGCACTGCAGTTTGGGGCCGAATTCCGAAGGTTCTCCTTGGACCGCCATAAACCTGGGAAGTTTGAAGATTTCTACAAGCTGGTTGTGCACACTCACCACATCTCCAACACTGACGTAACCATTGGCTACGCAGATGTGCACGGCGACCTGCTACCCATCAACAATGATGACAACTTCTGCAAGGCTGTCTCAAGTGCAAACCCCCTGCTCAGGGTCTTCATCCAGAAACGAGGTACAGAGACTGAGCACTATTCAGTTCTCAGTTCTGAAGCATTGTTTCCATTCTGTCTCTCACTATGAACCAAGAGAGTCTTATTTTCTAGTCCATGGGGGGATGGGGGATAAATAAATTTAGGTTTGTTTGGTTAATTTAGCTTATTAGAAAGGCTTAAAAATATTTTGACTATAGGGCTGGAGTGATAGCACAGCGGGTAGAGCGTTTGCCTTGCACACGGCCAACCTGGGTTCGATTTCCAGCATCCCATATGGTCCCCCGAGCACCGCCAGGAGTGATTCCTGAGTGCAAAGCCAGGAATAATTCCTGAGCATCGCCCAGTGTGACCCAAAAAGAAAAAAAAAAATTTAGACTGCATTTTCCTCCTTAAGCAGTATTTACTTCTGATTTTTAAATACTGAGAAAGAATAATATTGATACTTTAAATATTTCAATATTTTAACTGGAAGCAAGAGAGTTTATTCGTGAAAAGGTGTCAGCCAGTAAGCCCCAAGGGACACTGAAGGTCGCTGCTCTGCGTTTTCCACGGTTTTTTTCGCATTAGAAAAACATACTAGGCTAAATTACAAGTTTACTAAAGTTGTAATAAACGTTAGTTTATTAATTTATTAATAAATTTTATTAAATAAAGCCTTAGCTCTGAAGACCTATTTTGCTCTTAGCACCCACGTGGTCCCGTGTAAAAGTGAATCACTAACAGATTAATAGTTGAGTCTTGTGACCTCTGTGCTGCCATTTCCTAGAGCTGCAGTGTTTTTGAGTGTTTTCTCATCATTCAGCTTGGGAGAATCCAAACACTGCAAAGTAATCAACTGAAGAGAAGGACCACAGGCAGGTGGATTATGGCTTTCAGAAAAAAGTGGAGGGTGTATTTTTTAATTGTATAGGGGCCTGCCTGGAGATGCTGTAGGGAGGGTGGGAGGCCACGTTGTTCTGGCAGACTCAGACCTAAAGGTTCAGTGCTTGTGACTGGTGGTGCTGAGACCCCCAAGGCCTCACCCTCAGCAGCATGGTCCTGAGGACCATGCTGTTCCAGGAACGGAACTAAAGGACCTCCTGCACGCACAGCTTCTGCTCCAACCCTTTGAGCCCTGGTGTGGCTTTACTGAGAGTCTCTTCCTCCCAGGCTGGATCTTAACCTGTGTAGCGTGAGTGCAGCCCCTCGAGGAGCAGGCCACAGAAGCACATACAGAACAGCTGCCACAGGCATTGTCTGTTGGCAGGACTCTCATCACAGGATGAGGGGAGAAAGGCCTGGATATCTCTGTGGGGGTGGTGAGGGCTTCAGGAAAGGGAAATCCTGAGCAGAGGTGAGAGGTAGAGCGATGGGCCCTGTGGGTCACAGGAGTCTTGTGCCAAGTCTGGTGAGGTGAGGGCAGGCACCCTTGTCGCAGTGGGTCTGCCTCTCCTCCTCGCCCATCGGGCCATAAGAGGTTAAAAGGTGACACCTGAAGTCGTGCCAAGTCAGGCTGTTGGCCGGTGCTCTGTGAATCTGCTGCTGCCTCATGTTTGTGGTGAGGAAAGGGGCCGGCAGGAGATTCGCTGACCTCACTTCAGATGGTTCTCTGGCACCAGATCACAAAGTTTCACATCTGCACTTCTTGCTGAGCTGGTGTCCTGCTGATGGAACTGAGAAGTCAACACAGCTGTCACTTCCTCCAGTGTCCTGGGGGCACTGCCTATGGTCTCCTCACTGGTCCCTGGGGTTGCAGACACAGCAGGTGTCCACCCTGTTCTTTTCCTCCTGCCCTCTGCTGTGGCCACACTTTGCCCTGTTGCCCCCTTCCACCCTCTGAGTTTGTCTGCCTGCTGCCTTCTCTGAAAGGCCTGGGGTCAGCCTGCTGACCTCAGGGGCTTGCCTTCCCTCCCCAACACTTTGTCCTCAGGCACACTGTGTTCTTGGCCTGTTGGTTGCGACTGCTCTCTGGACTATTCTCCATCCCACAGCACTGCCCCTAGCCAGCCCGGGTCATGGGGTTCACTCACCAGTACGGAGGATCTGACATTGGTGAACTAGGACGTGAGAACAGGCCCTCTCAAGGAAATCAGCATGTGGCTCCTTCTGCAGCTGGACTGGGTGGCTCCAAGAGGCACTGCTCGCCGTTGGTGAGGCAGCCCAAGTGATACTTGGCACCTGTACCCTTGTCTCCTGAAGCTGAGGGGTGGCAGGAAGTCCTGGGCGTGTGTGCTTGTGTGGGGCTGTGCAAACTTCCCACAGGCAGCTCACGTGGCTTCTCCTCTTTCCAGCTTGCTGGCTGAGGCCCTACATCCTGTCTCTCTTTTTATTTTTCTCTTTCCTTTCCCCTCAGAGTAATAGCCCAAAGTTAAACTTTGTTTTCGGGTCGATAACACTGTTCTCAGCGTGAGTATGTTGCTGTAGCCCCTGGAAAGGGGCTTGAGCATCTGACCACTGCAAGAGCACAGGGAGACCAGGATTCAGACCTCACCTGCCCCACCTTCTCACTGGCTGTGACAGTGGAGCCCTCATGTTCTCATCTGTTAATGGGAGAACAATGCCCAGTGTGGTTGTTGTCTCCCAATTGGGAAAATGATTCTAGTGCTCACCACCTCATCCTATCACTGGGAAATCGGGCTGTTCTCTTAAAAGTCTCAAACTGGAAGGGTGTTTTATTATTTCTGGTAAAGGTAAAGGTAAAGGTAAAGGCCCTCCCGTTGATCGTCGATTTGCTCGAGCGGGCCCAGTAACGTCTCCATTGGAGACTTTGTTGTTACTGTGTCTGGCATATCGAATACTCTCGGTAGCTTGCCGGGCTCTCCGAAGAAATCCTTACCAATTTTTTTAATAATGTCTCTTTCAGAAATAAGGGCTGGAGCGATTATTTCTGAAAGAGACATTATTAAAAATTGGTAAGGATTTCTTCAAGTCTGTAGAGCACTTTGGGTCATATGGACATTTTTGGCGTTTTCCAGCCTGTGAGCGTGCAATGTGTGTCCATTTATGTGCCTGTAATTTCTCCCACTCATGTTTCTGTGTTTCATTATACAAGTGTTTCCATCCTTGGTTAAGTTAGTTTTTTTTATGTTAAAAAATTGTGTTTTATTTTGATGTTATTGTAACTGTAATATTCTGTTCATAGCACCCGTTTTTTTATGTATAGAAATTCTGATTTGTGTGTTAATTACCACTTTGCTGAATTCATTTATTAGCTCAGGTGGCTTTTTTGTGGCATGTTTAGGGCTTTCTGTATCCAAGATTCTATCACTTCAAGCAGGTCATCTTAGTGAGTTTAGATGCCTTTTTAAAATTGTATTTCACTTGTTTAATTGGCCCCCAGTAACTGTGTTGAATGGAAGTTGGTCTTTCACCATTGAGTGTGATCTCAACTGTTTTCCATATTGTGGAGGTAGTTTCCTTCTACTTCTGTTTTGCTGAGTATTGTTTTCATTACAAAAGGATGTGATAATTTCTCTTGCTGCTTTTTTGGGAGGAGGGGCATGCATTTGGAGTTTGAACCCCACCCAGTGGTACTCAGATATTATGGGGACCAGGAGGTATGAGATAGAACAAGGCTGAACCATCTCCCTGGCCCTCTCTTGCAGCTTTCAAGATTTTCTGTATGTTTTTGGAAGTTTGATTACAATGTGTCCTGGGCAGAGTCTTTTTGAGTTCCTATTTATAGAGTCATTGAGCTTTTTGGATTTTATGTCATGTCTTTTATTAAATCTTAGTAGTTTTTCATCTTGATTTCTTCAAACAGTTTCACTGCCCCTTTGCACAGATCAGCCTTTAACTCCCTCTAGCAAATTTCTTTGTATTTTTTTCTCTGTGTATACTGATATTTTTATTTTTTCACGTTATTTTCTTGACTTTAAATTGTTTTTATTTTCTTTTTATTTTTTTTCCTCTTGGTGTTTCGATATCTTCAGAATCATTATTTTAGAGTTTTTGTCCAATATGTCTGCCCCAGGTCTTTTTCAGGAGCCAATTCTGTTGAATTATCTTTCTTTGATGGATAATGCTTCAGGTTTTCTGTGTGCCTTGTGATTATTTGGGGGGGGGCATATGTGGAAATACTAGGGGCTTACTCATGGCTCTGTGCATAGGGATCACATCTGGTAGGACTCAGGGAGCCATATGTGGTGCCAGGGATCAAAACTGAGTCAGTTGCAGTGCAAGGCAAGTGCCTCACTTCTGTACTATCTTTCCAGCCCTGCCTAGTGATCTTTGGTTGCTGATCTTTGGTTCAACATTGGACATTTAAGTACGACAGTGTAGTCACTCTAGAATACTAGAGTGAACCCTAGAAAGGAAAGAACCTTTCTCAGAACTTGTATTGTAGCTTTGGTTTTCTTTTTTCCATTGTTGCAAGCTGTGCTGGGAGGCAACCTGAGGGGTAAACCCACCCTCTTCTTGGCTCTTTTCTGGTTCTTGCTGCAGCACATATGTGTTTGGACAGGATCCAGCTGGCTGTGCATGTGGAAGAGGGAGATGTGGAGGGAGGGGTGCATCCCTGACCCCTGGAAGCAACTGTGCAGGGGCGGGCAGATGGCTTAGCAGCAGCAAGTGGGCCAGGTCCCTGTATCTGAGGCAGGGCCCATTGCCCACCCTGCCTCCCCTGCTGCAGGCTGCTCTGGGTGCAGGTGCTGAGGGTGTGGAAGATCTCGTCATCCCTCATTCACCAGCTACCTCCCAGGCCTCTTTAGAGTTGCGCCTTCGTGAGCACAGACAGAGCCAGCCCCAGCAGCAGCGACATGGGGTGGAGGGTTCCTATTCCACTGCGCTGTTTCTAAATCCACCTGTCCTTTCTTGGTGGTCTCACTATTTAATATAATTCCCAAGCAAAATGCTGAGGTACTGTCTAGTTTTCCTTTGCAGAAGATGGTTATTACATACTCTACAAAAATATATTTGGCTGTGAGTTTAGCAGAAATTGTGTCTTTTTGTACACACAATGTTTATATACACATATATAAAGAGGTGAGACAGTCTTCTGCCCCCGCGCCTGACTGTCCTCGCTCACCAGGACCCCTTGGAG